TGCAGCCCAGACTCCTGCACCCCACTTCCTCCGGGAGCTCATGCCAGGCACACACGCACTTTCCCTGACGACCTCCGGCTGCCACACCCTGAGTCCCAGGCCAAGCTGGACTATTCTGGCTCCACCAAGCACAGCTGACCCAAAGCCTGGCAATACTGCTCCTTTTCTCTCCCAATCTGCTCTTTTCCGAAAATGTTAAACCACCCGCCACCTTTAATATCTAGTAGCTTGATCATGTCAATGGAAAATTAAAATAAAAAATGAACTCTGTAATGGGGTACATTGTGTCCCTTAAAAAATATGTTGAAAGTCAGCCCATGTGATTGAGACGGAGACCGTATATGGAAGAAGGAGCTTGGTGATGCAATCATGTCACGGTAGTCACGAGGGTGGGCTCTGATCCAACATGCCTGGTGCACCATGAGAAGAGGGAAGCTCATGGGCATGTGAGGACAGACCTGGGATGGCCACTTAGGCGGAGGTGGGGATGGACCCCTGGGCGGCATGCCCAGGACGCTAGGGAGCCTGGGAGAGGCGGGGCTGATTGTCCCCTGCGGCTCCGGGGGGCGCATGGCCCCCCACACCTCAGCCTTGTGTTCTAGGCTCTAGGGCCGTGAAACGACCCGTAAGTGGGGGGCTGTGGTTCATTCTGAGGATATAGCCCTAGGGAGGCACGCAGGCTTTGAGATGCTTTCTAGAGGGAGGAAAGTTTAGAGGTTTTCTCTGTTCTCACAGTTAGCTTTGAGGCACTCTGGGGCCACCAGAAAAGGACCCCGAGGAAGGAGGACACCCCGGTGGGTCAGAGGGCTCCGACTTCGAGAGTCGTGGCTCAGTGGCCAGTTCTGTGAATCCGACAGTAAGAGCACCACACTCGTGTGGAGTGGGAGCGGCAAAAGCCTTCTCTGTCGGCCTCAAGATGCCAGCACTGAGCTCTGTGAGGGCAGCCTGGTCCTCCTCACAACACAGGACTCACCAGCCAACACCTCTGTTTCCGAGAAGCTGCACCCCACTGCTGCGCTATAGAAAGTCACCGTCCTGGTGACTTTCCTTGGTAGCTTTTTGCAGTTTTACTCTGCACAGGTGAGCCAAGAACTGGGGCTTCCCCCGACTGTGCCAGCATGGGGCTGGCGAGGTGCACTCCTCTTTTTTGTCCAGCGTGAAGGTTTCCTCCAAGGCCGAAGGCTGGAGAAGCAGCAGGAACCTTCGTAAAGCCTGGCTATGCTGAAGGCTCATCTCTGAGCTAGAGTTGCAATGTCAGCAAGAAAGGTGTAAATCCGAGGGCCTGGGAAGGTGACTCCTGGGTCTTTTAAGCCACACACAAGGAATACAGCAAACTTCTCAACCCTTCTCACTTGCAAAGAGCTAAGAACTGTGACATTAAAGATTTTCTCCCAGTAAGACTCACTTATTCATGAATTCAAACCTCAAAGCTTTTCAGAACGAACCGTCAACAGATCCCCTCTCAAGCCTTTTGCCTGGCCACCACCTCCTCAGCCCCAACCCTTGTGTGCGTGTGAAATTACACAAGGGGATGTCATACTCACAGATGTTAACTGGAGAAACACCCTCTCCACTCAGCCTGATGGGAAGGAAGAGGGGAAAAGATGGTTATTACGTTTCCGGCAGTTTACGGGCATTTGAAAAGACAATTTGCAATTCTTTTAAATGCATTTAAAAACTATTATTTTTATGCAAAAGTAATGGAGGCTGAAATGATTTAAGTACTAGTGGTATTAAAAATAATAATCAAAGGAGATAATATGGAGTTTGAGGTTCACAGGAGGAAAACCTGTAATCTCAGACACACATTTTTCGTTTAGACGAGGTAGACAGCTTTGGCTAATCATAGACTGGTATCAACTGGACAGGCAGGGCTTGGCACAGAATGAGCGTTCTCTCTCAACAATAGACTACTGTCATGTACTGGGCAGTGCTGAGGATGTTGTAGGTGTGGAGAGGAGGTGAATCATAAACATAACAATAGCAATCATCGGTCTATTATTGTTAGAGCAACTAGAGTAATTTCAGATAGCATCTTAAGGCCAGAACAGGCATTCATGCATAAACACATACTTAGGATATTAAAAAGAACTCACATTTATTGAATACTTATTACCTACACTCTGCCATTTAGTCCTCTCCACACCACCATTAAGTAGCTATTATTATCTTAGTTACACAGATAGGGAAATTGTAGTTCAGGAAGGGAAGCCTGCTCACGGTTGCAAAATTGGATTTGAAGTCAGGCTCATTTTATTCCAAAGTTCATGTCATCGGTCATTAAGCTGCACAGCTAACATGTGCTGGGTCTTCGTGGACCAGGGGTGCCCTAAGCGCTTTCTCCGTGTTCCCTTAGTTTAATCCTCTAAAGCAACATGAGCTAGAAACTATGGTTATCCCCATTTTACAGGTGAGGATGTTGAGGAATGGAGAAGCAAAGTAATTTGCCCTGGCTCACACAGCTAGTGATTGGCTGTACACAAAACTCCCACGGACACTGATGATCATGTGACCTGTGGTCTCTATTCTGTTATTGAAGAAATGGAGGGCCATCGAGGATGCTGACTTTCCTAGTGAGTGGTAGGACGCTTCCTGGTAGTGCAATGGGTTGGAGTGCAGCTGCAGCAAAGCTAGCTGCAGCTGTCTCAGTGTGAATTCGATTCCCCAACCCCAGAGGTGACCCACAGGGCGCGGCAGCCCTCTCCTGACCCGCCCGCTGCTCCCCTCACCAGTGGACGTCATCCATCTACCTGTCCTGCTCCCCACTCTGTCTCTGGTGAATCCTCTCACTGCCCTGCACCTCTGGTCTGTACCCCAGTTCTGTGTGCATAAACAAATAAACCTTAAAAAAAAACAAACAAAAACTAGTGAGTGGTAGACCAAGAAGCCCAGATGCTGCGACAGCTTGTTCTACGTCCAGAGACTTTCATACGACATACCCTCCTTTGAAAGGACTTGGTTATTTAGACCCTGGATGAATACGCAATAGCAATTAATCTCATGTGGGATTCAAAGCGGTTGTGTTTCAAGTGTGGGAATCTGATAATGATTTACTAGCTTGGGGAAAAATTGCATCTGTGTTCTTTGTTACAGCCTGACTCCACTTGCATTTTGCCCACTCTCCAGGTGAGGAAGGAGCTGCAGCGACCTGTTTCCAGAAATACCCAGGCAGCTGGGAGGTGCTGCGCATCTGCTCCCACCTGCACTCCTCGCCCTCCAGCAGCTTCCTGTAGGTGGCGATCTCCACGTCCAGGGCCAGCTTCACGTTCATCAGCTCCTGGTACTCCCGCAGCAGCCGGGCCATGTCCTGCTTGGCCTTCTGCAGGGCCTCCTCCAGGTCTACTAGCTTGGCCCGCGCGTCCTTGAGGGCCAGTTCTCCCCGCTGCTCGGCGTCGGCGATGGCCGTTTGCAGGCTGGAGCACTGCAAGGGGAGGGGAAGCCGTAAGCTCCGGCTAGCCCTGGAGGTGGCGCTTTTAGGGCCGGCACGCATGGCAGAAGTGGAAGAAATGAGTGTGCCAGGAGCTCTTGGCTCTTTCAGGACGTTACCTGCTTCTTGACGTTGTCGATCTCGGTTCTCAGCCTCTGGATCACCCGGTTCATCTCGGAGATCTCCTGCTTGGTGCTGCGGAGGTCGTCCCCGTGCCGGCCGGCCGTGACCTGCAGCTCCTCGTACTGAAAGGGCGGTGCAGGGCCAGTCACCCACCGGACGCCGGTCAGGCAGTCCTGCAGCCAGGGCTCGACCCTCGCTCGGTCCGCGCATGCCACGGCGCCCTGGCTCGTCCCGCCCTCCCGCACTCACTAATTCCGGCACACCTACTCGGCAGGCATGCACGGGGCGCGGGGTATTAATCAAATCAGGAAAGTACCAGATTCACAGTTGTACACTGAGGCCAGGGCCCTTTGAGATCGTAACACGGGGAAGGGGAGGGGAGTGTCAGGAAGGTGGGCTGCTCCCGTGCTCTGCAGGGTGGGAGGGAGTGGCCTAAGTGGCTGACGTGGGAAGTGGTCTCAGTGAGGACCCCGGGCAGGAAGGCCTAGGTTGGGCTCCAGGCGAGAGGTGGCCTGGTCACTGTCCTTGGGGGAGTTTCTGGTGATGGGGAGAAGATTCCAGAAGCAGTGTGGGGTGGAATCAGCCAAGGCTGACAGTTCTGACTTCCTGTCACGGCGCCCGGGCTCTGGGTGGCTCCCTGTCTGTCGGTGCAAACCCCAAGGCGCGCAGAGGCATCTCCGCTCTAGCAGATGGAGGGAAGCCCTCCTTTCCCTGCTGGAGAGGAGACCAGTGAGGACCTGTCCGGGTCTGTAATGCTGGGGCTCCCGTTTCTGTCAGTACATGGACTGAAGGGAAGAGCGGCCTTGTCCATGAAAGGACTTGTTCACCCCAAGTTTCAGCCACCCCACCTGAGATCAAGCGCTTTCAGCCCGCTCAGGCAGGGCCCTCTGCACTGCACAGCTCCGCCCGACACTTTCCTTCCTTCCTGCCACGTCGCCCTGCGTGAGCCCGCACAGGGCAGGGGAGCAGCTGCCCCCCCCGAGCGGGTCCGCGTTCGGCAGGGAGCAGGTCACCGGGCTGGACTCTCTGGTCTGCCGCACACCCCCAGGGGCAGCCCTGCTGGCCAGCTGCTCCTGTGGGCACTAAGCCTCCAGTCACCCCAAGCTCCTCCTCCCCACGACAAAACCTTCTGCTCAGAAAATGTCCATTCTGCCGTCCAACATCATCAGGCTACGTGTCCAGGCTTCATCTCCTCTGCACTCCCTCCTGGGAAATCGTCTGTCCCTTGCTACTTCCAAACAAGGACAGAAAACCCACCTCTTCTTGGCAGCTTCTTCTGAGTGTCGCCTTTTGCCCTGCAGTGATTGCTGTTCACTTCGCAGCCTCTCAGACCCTGTGATTTATTCATCTCGCTCCCTGTTACTCAGCTGGGCACACAGAAGGGCCCCCCACGGTACAGTTCAATACAGAAGCACTGTAGAAACAGCTAAAATAGCCTTATGCCCGGTAGCTGGTCATTTTGGAGTCTCACTCAGAACCCCCAGATTGTAAGTGATGTGGGCGCTGGCCCCTGAGCACCCAGCACGGCCTGGGCCTACGTGTACATGTGGCTGGGTTGCTACATTTCAAGGGAAGTTTTGGGAGTCTCAAAGCCACGTCTGCCAAGATGAAAGACGTGATCACGCGTTTCCTGAGGCCCGCGGCTAAGCTACATGAGGATCTGGGGCCTCAGGAAACATGGGCTGGGACTGGCCTTGGAGACCTCACAATCACCTTGGTCTGGTACCAGGACTCGGCCTCGGCCCGGCTGCGGTTGGCGATCTCCTCGTACTGGGCCTTGACCTCGGCGATGATGCTGTCCAGGTCCAGGGTGCGGTTGTTGTCCATGGAGAGGACCACGGACGTGTCGCTGACCTGGGTCTGCATCTGGGACAGCTCCTGCAGGGTCAGCAAACTCAGTGTCACGGAAGCAGGGATGAAAGGGCCCAGAAAACACCCGGATGACTGACCACCTGGGCCAGAAATCCCGGGCACGGATTATTCACGCTCCCTCTGGGCACACCCAGCCGTTAAGGGGGCCCCATGCCAGTCCCTGAGGAGCTGCTGGAACATGGAGCAGTATGGTGGGGTGTCCCCAGTCCTGCTTCCACGACTCCCCTCTGTGGGCTGGGCTGGGTCGTTTCTGCACCCAAATTACACAGAGCTGAACATGACACGCGCTGATTCACGCGCTTTCTTTACGGTCAGGCCCCTTTCAGGACCCTGCTGCCCTGTACAGGGTGACCTCATGCCCTGCTTTTTTCGCTCTCATCACAGACCCAGAACAAGGCATCAGCAGAGAACAGGCACCCCAGGCAAGAAGCGAAGCACAGCTTGCCTCCTGGATGTTTCTGGGAGGGCGGAGGAAGTCGTGGGTCTTGATTTTCTCGGCAATTTTGCCCAGCGACCCGGAGTTCAAAAATCAGCACCCTGTCCTGGCTGGCCCACAGGGAGGGGCAGAAACCTCGGCTTTGAGAGGGGGACCCGTGCATCTAGATTTTAAGCAATTCCCCCAGTTCCCATGCTCCTCGCGTGTCCCATCGGGGAGTATCTGGGCTGCAATGCTGAGACTCGTGTGTGGCCTCAGGCTCCAGACCTTGGGGTGGGGGGCGGGGAGAGACAAAAACATCTGCAGACTCTTACTGCCTCAAAGAACATCCGCAAGAAGTTGGTCTCGTCGGTCAGAGAATTGACCTTGGCCTCCAGCTCCACCTTGTTCATGTAGGCGGCGTCCACGTCCTGAAAAGACAGTGCAGGATGTTGCTGGACGGCCCGGGCCTCAAAGCGAGGCAGAGACACTGGGCAACTTTTTCTTGGCCCTTCGGGGCTGATTTCAGCAGATTCTGCTCCTGGGGCTCTTGGCTGGGGGCAAGTGATTTATTAAGAACCAGGGGTTGGGCCCTCCCTGGTGGAGCAACGGGTTAGGGCGCAGCACTGCAGCGAGCCTCAGCCACTTCAGTGCGAGTTCGATCCCTGGCCCTGGTGGGTGACCCACATGGCGCGGCAGACCTCTCCTGATCCGCCCGCTGCTCCCCTCAGCAGTGGACTTGTCAGTCTGCCTGTTCTGCTCCCCACTCTGTCTCTGGTGAACCCTCTCACTGCCCTTCCACCTCTGGCCTGTACCCCAGTTCTGTGTGCCTAAATAAATAAATCTTTAAAAATACGTAAATATTAGAACCTGGGGCTTAAGTTCCTGGGCTCAGAGAAAACCGAGCAAGTTTGGGGGTCATCGACAGGGCGGGAGCACAGTGGTGGGTCTGAGCTCGCCAGATAATCTCAGGAACGACGTCACATTTCTGGGGCGGCCCGAGGGTCAGGTCCTGCACAGTGCCCCACCCAGTTGTGAATCTTCTCTTTTGAGAGACATTTCTACTCACCTTCTTCAGAGCCACAAACTCGTTCTCAGCGGCCGTGCGCTTGTTAATCTCGTCCTCATACCTGTACGCACAGAGAAGAGGGGGCGTTCTGTTGAGTAAGATTCCGATTGAACTCTTCCCAGGCTGAGCGTGTGGAGCAAGAGTCAGACCATGAAGCGTTTCCAGCTCTCCCTCCGACCTTTGTGTGACTTTAGGTGATTCACGTAACCTCTATTTCTTGCTCTATAAAAGGGAAATAATTTCTTCTGCCAGAAGTTCTTTCTTTTGTGAACCTCGAAGGGGAGCATGGAACTTAATGGGAATAGAAGTACGTTTTTATGCAACCCCATCTTCTCAGAGATGCGTCATGTCAAGCTCTAAAATTTTTGCTTGCTGCCAAGGCCCGCTGGCAGGATAAGGGAAGCTTTATTCAGGACTCTTTTTGGGTAGTTTTGGCTACATGTTCACACCCAACCTCAGGTTGAGCCGCGTGCTTTCTGTGAGTAGGTGTAGCTGCTAGAACAGCTCCTGCAGAGCCAGCTGGGGCTCCACTAGCTCTCTGGCCCCTGGCCGCCTCAGAGCCAGCTGCATGTGGTGCAAGTGAACAGGATTCTGACTGGGCGAGTGCCATGCAGAGGGGATTTGTGAGGTGATGCAGAGTTCCCTCTGCAGCCAGACGAGCAGACACAAGTGTCTCTGTCTGTCTCCTTTGGTGGATAAAGCTTGAGATGAGATGAGGCCCTCGGAGATTCCCACACTGCGCTCTCTCCATGTGAGGGGCTGGCTGCCAATGGCAGTTATTCTGGCTGGCAGCGGTGTTTGCTCCTTTGAACCTCTCTGGAGGGCTGTGCATGGCTAAAAGCCCATCTCCACCTCACCTGATTTTGAAATCTTCGACGACGTCCTGCATGTTCCTCAGCTCAGCGTCCAGCCTGCCCCTCTCTGCGGTGATGCTGTCCAGCTGCCGCCGGAGGTCACTGATGTAGGCGTCAAAGAAGGGCTCCAGGCTCTGCCGCACGGTCCTGGTGCCCTGCTCCTGCAGCAGGCTCCACTTGGTCTCCAGGACCTTGTTCTGCTGCTCCAGGAACCGCACCTGGAGGGGGGAAGAAAAGACAGGAAAGTTTGAGAAACTGGGGTGGGGGTGCAGAGTTAGATTAATAGGGGAAAGAAGAAAAATATACTTTCCCCCTGGCCCCCATTTGTCAGCTACATAATTGACAGCTCCAACTCAAAAGGAAGGCGCCCTGAAGCCACCGCCAGCTCTCTAGGGCTTCATGCGGCCGGCTCGGGGGGTCGGGGGGCTCTCTGCTTGGCCGAGTGTCTCAAAAGCACCTGCTCTGGTTAGGTTAGTCTGCTCAGTGGAAACTCCTGTGAAGAACAGCTTCACTGTTCCCTCTGTGTTGACTGAAGCAGCCCAACGGCTCTAAGGAGAACAAGGAGGAGCTTCCAGAAGGTTCTTTGGGATAACCTGGTCCCATTTGCAACGCCTCAGCCCCCGGAGGGACTTGAATGACTTCCTTCCGCTCGGGCAAGCCCCTCTCTGGGCCAGGGCCTCGCCAAGAGCTCCCAGCAAAGGCTGGCTACAGCTCTTGGCTCACCTTGTCGATGAAGGAGGCGAACTTGTTGTTGAGGGTCTTGATCTGCTCCTTCTCCTCTTTCCTCACTCGTTGGATGCTGGGGTCGATTTGCAGGTTGAGGGGAGTCAGGAGGCTCTGGTTGACGGTGACCTCCTGGATGCCTCCAGCAGGGCAGACGGGGAAGCCGGCGCCCCCGAAGCCCCCTCCGGGCCCACCCCCATAGCCGAATCCGCCGCCGACCCCGAACCCGCCGCTGGCCCTGCCGCCGAGGCCAGCGCGCAAGCCGCTGCCGCACGCACCGATGGAGACCCGCTTGGCCCCCCCAAGGTTGTAGAGGCTGCGGCTCCCAAAACCGGACCCCGCACCACTGATCCTTCCCAGCCCCCCGCTGCCCACTGCGCAGCGGGCCGTGGACACGGAGCTGAAACGGGAGCGGCCGTGGGCCGGGGTGGTGGCGGACGCTGCGCTGAAGCCCCTGCGACCGCCGGTCTGGAAGGTGACGGTGGGCTGCCGGGACATGGTGGGCGCGGAGGGCGGCACAGGCGGCTCGCGGGGGCTCCCAAGGGGTGAGAAGACAGGGTGTCCTCCGGCCCCTGGGCTTTTATGGACCTCTGGCAGGGGCGGGGCACCGCTGATGGAGGCCTCCGATGGCACCCCCGGGCGCTCGCCAGCCCTGAGCTCACGCGCTCCTCTGCAAAGGGTGTAAAAGGCGCTGGTTGGCTCCTGGCGTTCCTCCCCCACCGGAAACTCCTTTCCAGTCGCAACTTGATCGGCAGATGAATGAGAAGCATGTTAATTGCCTTCAGTCATGTCCTAATCATGCATCTTCTAATGGACTCCAAAAACACTGCTGCATTTCCCAAACCGCTCTCTGAGGCCTGGGAGGACTCCGTCCTGGGCAAACACCTTGGGTCAATGCAAGGGGCGGCCACCAGCTGCCCACTGTGCTCAGGGGCGGAGAATCTCGCTCTCTGCCCACTGTCCTCAGGAGCGTCCCTCCCCCACACCGTCTGACTGCACCTTGACCTGACCCCAAAGTCTCCGGCTCCGTGGTGCCGGTGGGTCACATGTACTTTCCCCAGCGTGAGCTTGTGCGCACGCAGGGCCTGTCGGCTGCTGGAATTTCGTGACTCTGGAGGAGCTGTGGAAGGGGGACCCCAGACTTGCCACCCGCTGGGGAGAGCTTGGGCCCATCATGAACCTACTCTGAGCCTCAGTTTGGGTGTCTGTCAAGTGGGGTTTGGGGTGAGTATTCCTGTGGGAAAACAACTCTTGCAATGCCGTGACGTATCGGCGCTGAGGAAATGTTTGTTGAGTCTTCCATCCTCTGATACTATCGAGCGAGTCTGAGTGAAGCGCCCCCAGCGTGTGCGTCCTGTGAGTCTGGGGATTTGGAAGGCACCCAATATTTGTGCTCGCTCCTTAATCATGGGCCCATGGCCCTGTTGGGAAGACAAAACAGAGGCCCATTACAGGATTCATGGAAGGTGACATGAGGCTGCCCCGCCCCAGGGGTCCCCCCTCAGGCCCCTCCTGCCGAGGGCTGGGGCCCCCCATCCTTTCATCTTGCGTCAGAAGAACTCAGTGTCTGCACCGGGCAAGGGCAGTGCTGGCTCTTTCGCTGCTGGCTCAACCCTCAAGCTGAGCAGGAGTCTGGGAGGCTCATTATCCCCTTTTCCTTTTTCTAAGATTTATTTATTGATGCATCCAGAACTGGGGTACAGGCCAGAGGTAGGGGGGCGGTGAGCGCTCACCAGATTCAGAGTGGGGAGCAGAACAGACAGACTGACGAAGCACACTGCTGAGGGGAGCAGCTGGGGGACAGGAGAGGTCTGCCGCGCCCTGGGGGGGGTCACCTCCGGGGCTGGGGATCGAACTCATGTGGAAGCGGCTGCTCCAGCTTGCAGTGCTGCGTCCTAACGCTTTGCGCCACCAGGGAGGGCCTCATCCGCTTTTCCTGTAGCTCAAGGAGGAGCCAGAGAAGCTGTCAGATCTCCTATCTTGCTGACTTCTTGCGTCTTTTGAAGGACGGGAGAGTCAGAAAGAAACTGAGCCGTGCTCAGCCTCCGTGTTGGAGGTGGGGAAACTGAGTCAGGGAACGGCGAACTGAGGACGTGGCCAGACTCCACAGCTTCCCCTTGCAGGTGCCCGTGCCAGGCGCAGCGGCCAGGCTGGCTGGCACCGCACCCTGCAGGAGCGGCACCTTGGCACGGGCGGCTGCAGCTTCCTGCTCCCCGAGCTCTCTCCTCCTCGAGGCTGAGGCCGGGGCTGGGCCTCTCCTCCGTGGAGATGTTGTTTCCGAGTCTCAGTTTCCACGGGGCACCTATGAGTCATAGCTTTTGTTGACACAGGCCAGGAGGGGCGTCCCCACCCGGTGCCCAGGCCCAGAAAGAACCATTGTCTGTGTGTTCACGTCGCATGACTGTCTTTGTCCCAGAAGAAGGGACTCTTGTTCCCTGGGCTGAGCTGAGCAAACCTCGGAGCTTTGGGCAGGAACAGCGGCTGCTGGGGGTCAAGGCTGGAACACGGGGCCGCTTGCGCTGGAGCGAGCCCAGCAGCTCTCCCCAGCGAGCGTGGCTGCTCCCACCGGGGGCTGCCCCTGTGGTCCCCGCGGCTTGGCGGGCGCTGCGCCCCCAGGCACTGCCTCTCCCCCATTTCCCTGGTCTCCTTCAGCCATCGCTAGTCTGGGGCTGCCTCCTTCCTTCCTTCTCTATCTGTTCTCTGTTTTTCCACCCGGACAACTGCTCCCTAGGCCGAGTACGGAGTTAGGCAGAAGAGACAAGAGCTTCACCGTGACCTTCACCTGATGGACGACGGCCACGTGGGTTCCTGGATCACCCTGCTTTCTCTGCAGGCTGTGTCACATTCCCGTACAACCTCAGCACTTAGAGGCATGGACACCTTTTTCTTTCTTGGCCGAGGCAGGTTTTCTGTCTGGATTTAAGCTCCTTTGTGAGCCTTCTGGAACTCGCCCCACGGAGCCTCCTGGGGCAGGCTGCTCAACAGCAACCCCTTGGCCTGTCCGAGTGGCCACGGTATGGCCCGCACGCCACGCATTTCTCCTTGGGTGCTTTACCTCTCGGGTTCAGTTTCGGGGTGGTTTATCCCCCTGACCTGCCTCCTTGCCCCTGGTGCGCCCTCGATGCCTGCTGTCTAACCCACAGACATGTTCCTTTCTGTGTCCTGCTCCCCAAAGCCTCTCCAAGTAGGCCTTGCTGGGTCTACTGGAGGAGCGTGCTCAGGGCTTTGGGGAGCGGTGGATTCCAGAGCTACTGGGAGCGCTCTGGGGGCCAACAGGGAGCCCCAGGCCCCCGATGTCCCTGTCTGTCCTGCTCAGGGTGGTCTCCCCCACTCCCCGCCAATCACACGAAGGCCCTGATGGCAGAAGATTCCAAGGAGCACAGGCCAGGTGATGGTTGGTGGAGGAGGGTAGCAGGCATGGCTGCCACACCTGCCGCTCCCCTTGCGCGAATTCACCGTCTCACGTGTCCCGGTCAGGGCTTTTAGCTGAGACGCTCTGGCTCCCGCAGAGGAGGGGAACCAACGGCTTCCTGCTGGGAGAGGAAAGTGGGGAGACGTGGGCAGCCCTGTGGCGCTTCCTGTGAGTCAGGGAGCAGAGGCCCCGTGTGAACGGAGGAGCATACCCGCAAGCAGCCCATGAGGTGGGCACCGTGTGTGGGCTGGGCGATACTGGGGCGCTGCTGTTTACACCGCTCCTCCGCTTGCTTCTGGCCTAGGGGGTTGCTGCTGAGGGTGGGGAGTGTGTCACTGGCTGAGGAAAAACAGCCAGAAGCTGTAGCTTTACCTGCACGCTGGGCTTGGTGCTGCCTCATGCGTCATGAACTTGGGCATCACGGAAACGGCTCCTTCTTGCTTTCTAGTCTCATCGCTCAGCCTCAGCTCCGTCTGAGAAGGACTCCAGACCCGAGCCTGCAGACAAGATGCACGTGCTCTTTCATTATTTCTTCTTCTTCTTCTTTTTTTTTTAAAAAAAGGATTTATTTATTTATGCATACAGAACGGGGGTGCAGGTTAGGGGGTGAGGGGATTCACCAGAGGCAGAGTGGGGAGCAGGACAGGTGGATCCACTGAGATCCACCGCTGAGGGGAGCAGCGGGGAGACAGGAGAGGTCTGCTGCACCATGTGGGTCACTGGTGCCGGGGTTCGAACTGGTGCTGCAGTGGCTGTGGACAGCTTCGTAGCGCTGTGCTCCAACCCGTGGCCCACCAGGGAGGGCCTCGTTATTATTCTTTCACTAACATTTGTTGGGGCCCACAGTGTGCTGAGCCCTGGCGTTTGCCATCAGCAGGAGCTGTCACCGACACGGCCGCAGGGGCATGGGCTGTACAGCACCTGCCACTGTGTGCCCGGGCGTGGGCGCCGGCGAGCTCCCAGCAGAGTGCCCCCTCAGAGCCCAGGCCTGGCCCTACCTGGCCCCGGCTACTTCAACTCCAGAACAGTGGGCAGAGTTATTGAGGTTCCCTGTCTTATGGATGAGGAGAGTGAGGCTCCGAGTCCCAGGAGAAGTTGAAGTAAAGCGGGAACCACAGAAGTCGTGTAAGATGGATGTATGGAGCTGACGTCAAGACGAAAGTCAGACGGGGAGAGGCCTGGACCGCAGGGTGGGTGTTGAGGCCTCAGGTGACCTTGCTCTCCTGCGGGCTCCAGGGGTCACACTGGGGACGGTGTGGACACCAGGCTGGGCAGGAGAGGCGGCAGTGGCTTGGCCTCACGTTCCCACGGTGAACCAGAGATGCATCCAGGCTGAGGGCTCCCCTTCCTGCCGTCTCAGGATGCGCCATTTCCCGGGGCGTCCACATGGGCCGTGTCCCCCCCCCACACCCCCCGCCACAGCCTCCTGAGAACTGGGCTCCTGGGGCGTCCAGCCTTGGCCTCGGAGTCCCCACTTCGCTCTGGGCTGCCTGGTGCCCAGCTGGCCATGGCCCCGCGTGAGACACGCGATGACGAGGACCGTGACAGCTGGGAAAGGAGGTTTGGAAACTGAGAGCCATTAGGCCGCGGTGGTTGACTCAGGCAACCGGAGAACAGGAGCTCTGCTTTAGGGGGGATCAACATTCAGTAGCCCAGACACGGAGGGGTAAACATTGGACCTGTGAGTCATTATTGCAAAAGCATGTGTCTCTTTGGAGGACTCAGAAGAGGACTCCTTCAAACAGCCCCCTCCCTCAGCGCATTCAAAGCACATGAGTTGACAGGCAGCTCAGCAGGAAGGCGTCTGGAGTGCAGCACCGGGGACTGTTCTGGAACCCCATGCCATGAAAGCGTTTCCCCTGAACAGGCCAGCATCAGGTCTGTGATGCAGGTTATTCCGGAGCCACCAGGACACCCTCTCGCCTTCCTTCCTGAAAAAGGGGAGCAGGAGCCCAGCACCCCTGCATGCTTCCTTCCCAGAGGCTGCCCTGGACCTGCTCCCAGCAGCCCAACGAGAGACACTCATTCCTTCGAAAGGAATAATTCAAAGAGTGTTCCACTTGCCTGGAGCAGTGCTTCCCTAAGCAGGAGTGAGC